TACACAAAGAAAAAGTTATCAGATAAATTACAAAACTACGTAGCTCCACAATTGATCTATTGTTGTATAGAAAATTCTTCCCCAGATGATAGAGAGGAAAAACATTTACTTGATTTGTTAAATTGGCAATATTTGTAGGTCTTCATGTTGCAGGGATAACTTCCTGGATAAGATGCCCAGATGAGTTGGTATTTTCTGGAAGAATAGAAAAAATACTGGGTGATAAGAGAGTGCCTAAAGTATGCACCTGCACCTGCAGTCTAGAAAAACAACATCCTTTTGGTAGTACTGCATGTAAACATCTGTCACTATATAAAATAGCTAAATTCTTTTTTTATTAGTTTAAAAATCTGATGATATTCTTTAATACATTAATAATGGTGACAAAAGTAACTGGGCTACTACCACTGGACCTATTTTTTAGATTCAAAGGAATCAGTTAGCAGGCTCTCTATTTTTCTCATTGTGGCTCTGTCCAGACCTTGTTGTATAATGGAAGTGCTATAACCTCTATCTAGTAAATGTTTGGAAATGATCTGGCATTCCTTATCAAAGACAGACTTTGTTGATCAATTATGTTTAGCATGTATAAATTCACAGTAGGGAAAAGCATTAATGGTGTGGGATGGGTGACAGCTGGTGACAAAAAAGTAGTATTACCAGAGCATGGCGTCCATTATGCACTAGTAGAGCTCAACCCCGTGTGAGGGTCTATGGGTTATAGTGTGAGAGCTAGGAAGTCAATACTCCGACAATTAGACTGGACAGAAAAATTGTAAATTCAGATGTTTGTTATTAATATACAGTATTTAATAAAGCTATTTAAACCAGCCATGTCCCCATCCCACAATATCAGAAGGTCATGAAGCTGGAAAATGGTTACTTATTGAAAATAAAGAAATTTCTTCCCACCCTCCCATATACAGATTTGCCATAGAAGGCGAAAATCTAGCCCCATGGAAGCCCAATAGCACTGGATGTAATAGCTGCCATCAAATAAAAAGTAATTATGTGTAAGTAAAAATTCAACACTTAACAACATATATTCCTGTAGCTCATACCAATAGGAGCTATACCATTGAATATGATGCTTGACAGCTTGTAATCAAGCCCTGTGAGGAATCGATGAATACAGTGCCTTCACATCCAATGTAGCCCATAAATAGGTCAATCTCCATTTGACAGATCTAATCTCAAACAAAATGCTCGGGTATCCTTAACATATCCAGGTAACCTGAGAACCAAAGGCTGTAGGTGTTGGTCCACCCACTCCCCCAAATGCTCTAAAAGGGAGCCAATTGGGCAGCCCTTTACAAGACCACCCATTTTATGGATCTTGGGGAGCTGCTAGATTACCAGCACCAAAGGGCTCTCTATGTACAGATACTTGGCCATTTTGGGGAACAACACTCCCATTTCTTTCCTAAGCTTTAGGTGCTTACTTAGAGCAGACTGAAAAATTAGGGTGGGATTACTTGATAGGGTACAGTTGGTTGTGGTATCGTTGTGCTGTCCTATAGCTTCTGATTTATATTGCTCTTCTGTCAACACAACCACCGCACCCCCTTTATCAGCCTGCCTGATAACTAATTTTTTTTAATCCCTCAGATTGCATAATGCAAGCATCTCATCCTTAGTGTTGTTCGCAAAAGAGGTAGAACAATGTTGTATAACTTCAATTAATTATCTTTCAATAATAGCCTAAAAAACATCCACAGCTGTACTCCTAACCTGGATTGGATAAAAGAATTTACCCCCATGGGGACTAGCATGTGATTTGAAAATAGAAATGTTCCAATGTATGTTGTGCTTGTAAATCAGAAAGTGCAAAAGAAAGAGATAAAGAAACATCAGCTCTTGGAGGTTAGATACGTAAGGATTTATTGTCACTTACTGTCACCAATGTTTGTGGGTCCACCATCCAATCTCCATCACCCTCCTCAAAATGCTTGCAAAAAAGAAGATTTTGAATGAATCTATTGACATCTAGAATGGTATTAAATATATCAAATGGTAGGTGGGAGCAAATGAAATGCCCCAAGACTAGAGAGACAGTTCTGAATCTGTCAAATCAATATCCATCAGATTGACTAAAAAAAATATTCAAACTTTCTAAATGATATATTCTTTCTTTGTGGGTATCATTGGTCTCCATTTTCTCCTTCTCTGACATTTTCTTTTCTTATGTTTTCCTTATTCTTGATGGACTTATTTTTCTTTGATAATACGAGAGAGGGGTGACTTTTTTTATAGCCTCCGAATTAGTATTATTCTGTGAAAAATTAATGTAACCAATACAGTGAGGTGTACTGGACTGTGGGCAAAACCATGAACCAGGCATTTTAGAGTTATTTAGTTAGATATACCCTTTTCATTTCTTTCCTGTCCCCTCCTTCCCTTCCATTTAGATTATACAAGTCATACTCTACCAAATTTTTCTCCTCTCCCTTCTCCTTCCTCTACTCCCATTTTTCTCTTTTATCCAAATGACACTCTAAGCTATTATTACACAAACTGTCAAGACTTTAATATCCTTGGTTTTTGGCCCCCACTTTTTTGGGAGACTTTAGTACCACCAGAAAAATATTACTACAATATATTATTGCTCATGTCTAACTGTAAGATAATTCATATGTCTAAGTTTTCTATTTTACTTTATTTTCCCACATTATAGTTTTATTTTTATATTCAGTTTTTGTATATCCTGATGTACGAATTGCTTGCACATACTGTCCACGTTACATTATTTTGTGATGTGTGGAGATGTGTTTATATTATTATTAAAAATCAAAACTAAATAAAAATTGTTTAAAAGTCAGTTCACAGCTTTGTGCTCAAACTATTACTGTTTCCAGAGAACATGCTATAGTGTGTATAATAATTAACAGAGACAGAAAAGGTTGTCCATGTAGAACCATTTGTGTAAAAATCAAACTTTATTGTGCTTACAAAAAAAATCACCTATAACAATACACATAAGTGGAGTTGTTGCCAACAGCACCCAGTCAGGTTTTACCTTTAAGAATTATTATGTTAGTTGTTCTGTATTATGCCCACATCCCATATATATCATATCCAGGATTACCATTCATGCTGTAGCAAGAGACTTTCCAGGGTATACATTTACTGTGTCACCATTAAACAGACAAAATCATAAAATATACAAGTTTATTATAAAACTATTAAAAACATACATACGTGCCATGCCTTTTTACAATAATAGTTTAACCTAATTATTCCAGATCATAATACAATATGAGGACTTGTACCGCATTACAGCTTGATGCATTTAGAATGATAATACTGTATATCTTCAACAGGAGCATATGTGGATAAGGTCTAAGAAAAAAATGTAACATATAGTTAAACAATATACATATACAGTATATATAAATAAAACAAAGCATTCAATTTCATCAATACCAATATGCTGTATCAGTCCTTATAGCTTTTGTGATTAAACCCAATTTATTAAAAACAGTTATGTGTGTAGTAAACTCCAAAACAAAGGGAAAATGAAAAACACCATTCCTCAACAGGGGAGCACCGGGGAGAAGCACAAAACCCAGTATCCAGTTGGGCACAGGGACACAGATGAGAGACCACATATGAGATCCGCCTATGCTCCTGATGAAGATCATCCAGGTTTTACCTTTCATTTAATGGGAAAAAAAAATACTTCAAAGAATCAGCCTTTGCATGTGGTATTGTCATAGTGTGTAAAGGAAGACTTAGGCGGTTATTTACTAAAACTGGAAAGTGCAAAATCTGGGGGCAACACTGCATTGAATCTAATCATCTTCCAGGTTTTATTGCCAAAGCTTAATTGAACAAGCTGAAGTTAGAAGCTGATTGGCTACCATATACAGCCGCACCAGATTCTGAGTGCACCAGTTTTAGTAAATATCACCCTAAGGGCCTAATTTCATGTTGCAAATTTCTGAACATACGTGCAATATAGTTATAAGGCATATATGGAGGATGGATATTGGGTTAATATTCCCTCTGGAGGTACCATCCCTATATACTAAATATAACCACAGCAATTGTAATTGTGACTATACGTGTACCCCCTTATATATAGTACAAAAAAGAATATCAATACATAAAAAACACAATTTATTGTTGCAATATACTGTACATATATTATTCATGCAATAGTAACATGCATTCATACCATGAGAGTTACCATTCACCAATAGCGAAAATAGCCTAACACTATAGGCTATGAACATTTAACCAGCTTGGGAAATAATAGCAGGGAGACTTCTGCTCTATGTGCAGTCTATGAAGAAATTGTTGTTCAGCCAAATGAACCTCTGGCTGCATTGTGAAGGAAGCGTTTAGCGGTGGTATTATTACCACTGCTAAATGTTGCAAATTTCTTCTGCTTGTTAGGGAGCCAGTGCCTGCCGGCATCCTAACAACCAGTGAATCATCCTCACCCAGCACATTCAGTTGTCAGCCAGGGATTGTAAATAAACAGCAGGAAAAACAGCAGGAAAAAATTATAGCCCAAAATCTGCGCTAAAAGAAATAAACACAAAAAAATAGCAGCTGGACACCATACCCTGATACCCGGCACCTCATAAATAGTGTACAAAATAAAAAGTACAGTGCTTAAATTAATTAACCACTAGCCTACAGGGCACTTATACCCCCTTCCTGCCCAGGCCAATTTCCAGCTTTCAGCGTTGTCACACTTTGAATGACAATTGCACGATCATGCAACATTGTACCCATATGAAATTTTTATCATTTTTTTTTTAGACAGATAGAGCTTTATTTTGGTGGTATTTAATCACCTCTGGGATTTTTATTTTTTCTTAAACAAACCAAAAACCACAGAAAATTTTGAAAAAAAAAAGTTTTTTCTTAGTTTTTGTTATACAATTTTGTAAATAAGTGATTTTTCTCCTTCAATGATGTGCGCTAATGAGGCTGCAGTGATGGGCACTGATAGGCTGCACTGATGGGCAGTGATAGGTGGCACTGATGGGCACTGATGAGGAGGCACTGGTAGGTTGCACTGATTGGCACTGAAAGGCAGCACTGATACATGACACTGATACATGACACTGATAGGCGGCACTGACTGGCACTGTTAGGCAGCACTGACTGGCACTGTTAGGCGGCACTGACTGGCACTGATAGGCGGCACTGACTGGCACTGACTGGCACTGATAGGCGGCACTGATTGGCATTGATAGGTGGCACTGACTGGCACTTTTGGGTGACATTGAAAGGCAGTTCAGATGGGCACTGATATGTGGCATTGATGTGCACTGGTATGCACTGATATGTGGCATTGATGTGGCACTGATGGGCACTGGCACTGATGAGCACTGACAGGTGGCACTTCTGGGGCCTCACTGATCACCAGGGCACACTGATTATCAGGGACACAGTGGACCGGTGATTGCCGTGCTGCACGCTCCCTGAGCCGCGCATGCGCAGTGAGAATGGTAGGATGTCATATGACATCCTATCAGAATGAGAGAACCACCTTGCGCCCATCATTGTACTATAGGGCGGGCAGAAGGTGGTTAAACAAAATTCATATAGAATGTGAAAATAATATTCAAAAATGGTTGATAATTAATCTCAAAATGTTCATAAGTGAAATATCAAATGGTGAGATCAAAGCAGAACAGTCCCCAAATGCCGTGATGAGATATGAAGACTTCAAAGGATAGCCAATGTGACACCAACCACTTGCATGCAAGGCTTATTGGAAGACATGTGACCCCCTGCTAAGAGTGGTCAATCTGCGATTTTTATAGGTGACATCCAGGAAAATGGACGGTACAAATCATCATCTGGACACTGAGACTGGTAATCCTCCCAAGCTGGTCTCCCTATATATGATGGCTCCAACCACTCCAAACGAGTTATATGAGACCAGAGCTCATGACATTAAACATGTAATAAAAGATTTCTCCACATACTGTAAAACTTTCAAATATCCAAAATGTATTGAAATATAAAATGCACTCACATGGTAAAAGGCACAATTCAGCATGTACAAGCACTACAAACAGATCTTTCCAGCATCCAAAATGTCCACTGTCCAGCCACTACCTATGAGTGGGTAGTGCACCAGCCTGCAGGTGCCCCACTACCTCCCCCTGCAGCCCAGAACCAACGGCGTGCACCACCCAATCATAGGTAGCGACTGGCCGGGGGCCATTTTAGATGCTGGAAAGATCTATTTGTAATGCTTGTACGCGCTGAATTGTGCCTTTTACCATGTGAGTGCATTTTATATTTCAATAAATTTTGGATATTTGAGGGTTTTACACTACCTTCAAATATCTTTTCCCTGTAGGTGAGCCCTCTCCATCTGGCCCTCCTCCCAGGCTCCTGCTCTCCTGCCTCTCACTTCCTCTCCATCTTCCACCCACACTCTCCTACTGCTGAGCAGGCTCAAACAATCTTAAGGCCTTTCCTGGCCTCTTGCCAAGCCTCCTATTGGGGGTTTGCAAGGATCCCTTGAGAGTGCAGACCAGCCACTTCTTACCTCTTCCTACTGCTTCTAGAAATGTTTCCAAAGTTCTAGTGCAGGGGGAAGTCTCATAAAGCTGGTATGCAGAGCCTCTGACTAAAATTTGACCCCCTGACTATTACACCTGGGCTGCTATTCAGCCCTTCTAACTAACAAATAATGTTAGCTCCCCCTAGCTATCTAGGAGGGTGCTACATGGACATGACCATCTATGGTCAATATTGCCATAGGAACGTCAGTGATATCATTGACCACAGATGGTCATGTCCATAAATGGTCACTTTATTGCTGTGGCAGGGACCTGGAGATGATATTCAGCAGTGTTGATGAAAGATGGGGTTGTTATGTTTTGTTCAGCAGGTCTTTGGCTGTCAAGCATCATGACTGATCGAATATTCTTAGCCTATAGCAGTGTTTCTCAACCTTTTTACTTTGGAGGAACCTTTGACAAAAAGTTTGAGATCTCGGGGAACCCCTGAAAAAAATGTTCATATCTACAGCTCATGGAACTTTGTATCTGATCAGCGAGCTGTAGATATAACAAAAAATAACAAACAAATGCAGAACAGTGCAGGGAAGCTGTTGTTCTAACATACCTTTTCCCCTTGATCCCCGATAGCCCTCCTCTCATCCATCCCAGATAATTACACATATAAGAGACTGGGACAGACAGAGGAGGATGACCTGTTGGGAACAGTACAGTAAATAACAATATGCTTCCCTGCAACAGTCTGCAAATGCATAAACAGAGTTTCTCAAATGGGGTTCTACAAATCAATATTGTGGCAGATGTTGATACCTGAGGCCTCCTCTGTAGTTGTGGTTTCTGTGAACTCAGAAGGTGGCATTGAGAGGAGTGCAGGGAGTGGGAACATGTCACTGGATCAGGAGGTGACATCCTGTATGTGGCAGCAGTGAATACAGACTGTGTGAGGGGGGGAAGCAAAGAGTGAAAATGTGCATAAATGTAGCAGGGGGTGACATACAGTGTATGGCAGTACTGAATGCAGACTGCAGGGGGAAGTGGCTGAATGAGACCGAATGTAGCAGGAGGTAAGATCATAATAGCTTTATGTACAGTTATGGCATAACATAAAGCTATAATGACCTCACCTCCTGCTATATTCTGTCTCATCCAGCTCTGTGCTCCCCATCTCTACAGTCTGCATCACTGCTGCTAAACACTGAATGTCACCTCCTGTTTTGGTCATGTGCTCCCTCTCTCTTCTCAACCCCATATCTGTAATGACTGCTGCCTTACACACACAGTGCTCTGGCTCTGTACCCCACTCTGCATCACACCACTAAACAGACTCATCAAGGAATCTCATCTTGTGATCCAGCCATGAGCACGTGCTCTGTGCTCTCTCCCACCTTCAACCTTTATTAAATACAGATCACATATAAAATAATTACTCACCATCAAAAGGTGAACATAACTGAATTTTCCCAAAACACTTTTAATAAAGGTTGTTTTTTAAATCGTTTGACGATATGTTGCAGTTGGTTTCCTGTGAGGCTGCTCTCTTTAGGTTAGTGCCTCTTTAGCACTATCTATATACATTTTTGGTTGGTACTGTGCATAGCCTTATGGAACCCCACTCTATTTGGTGAGTCGGTTTTTGTGATGATTTTTTCTAAAAAGTGCCATCTTATTATTGATCACATAATCACTGTTTGGGTTCAAATTAGATTTAGAACCCAAGACAAACTAACGTTTTTTATTTTTAGTTTTTGGTTACAATTTTTACAAGCCCCAACTACTGTAGAAATGATGCTCAGCTGGACCTGTTAATCTCAAACATTGCAGAGCTTATTACTCATTTTCATATAACACAACATCTGAGTAGCTGTCAGGGATGCGGGTGTGACCAGAAGTGTGTGGACTGACACAGGGAAACGTAGGCTTCAGATATAGTAAATAATATAATTTATTAAGACTAACAATACAAACGCAGTGCAAAACTAAACATAACACAGTGCAAACAAACTGAACCAAACCTCCAACAGATAACAAACATACGATACAAGAGTAGTCAGGCAGGCCGGGTCAGTAGCAAACGGAGTACCAGGAGCAGGCAGGAGAGTGGTCAGGACTAGCCAAGGTCAGTACAGGCAGAGTTCAGGCAGCGTCAGGACAGCAGAAACAGGATCAGGAAACCAGGGCCAAGCAAAGAGTACAACAAGGCACAGACTGCAGGTCTGGCCATCCCTTAAATACACCACCTGCAATCAGCCCCAGGTGATCCCATGGAGGGTGGGGGATGTGGGGAATTGCACCCATGGAGACGTGTACAGCAGGAACCATAAGGAAGGAGGGGAAAGTGGGGATGGAGAGAGGGGATATGGAGGGAGGGAAGGGGAAGGAAGGAAAAGGAACAAGAAACTATTACAATACAGCAACAATACCAATCAGGATAAATTATAATTATACTCCATATGATGTGAGCTATCAAACTTGAACTGTACATTTGGGATGAAGAGACCATAGAGCCCAAGAGCTGTGGAATCTGGAATTGGAGAGGTGGTTGAGGGAGTATCTTCTTTCCATATCACATTGGGTGTTTACAGTATATCACAGATTACTCTGGTTATAGATGGTGAGTCTGTGGATTTCCATAATCTAGTAATATTATTTTTTCCTGCATAAAGAATATGAATGATAATAGTACATGACTTGGGAGGGAATTGTTTTTGCCTAATCTCAAATAAGGCTAATGGAGGGTTAGATTTCATTATATTGCCTGTTATTTCTGAAATCACAGTAAAGATGCTATTCCTGAAGGACCTAATCAATTTGCAAGACCAAATTATATGAATGAGGGAACCTCTCTCCCCACATTGCCTCCAGCATTGCGAAGAGCAGGTTGGATATATTTTGGTTAGATGGGCAGGGGTTAAATACCATTGGTGTAGCAGTTTAGGTATGATTCCCAGTGTGAGGCACAGTGGGAAGCCTTATAGGTTGCAGCAAAGGCCTTATTCCATATTTGATCTGATATTGTTTGGGACATTAGGGTTTCCCAATTTGTCATAGATGTTGTCCTCAAGTTAAATTTCAACTCAATAATGAGGGAGTAAAATATTGATATTACTTTACCTGGATATTTGTCTTTGTTAAGGAATTGAAATGCTTGGTGGGGTAATATGGTGATGCAAGGGACGATTATAGTTTTAAGACAGTGAGCAATTCGAAGATAATTAAATCTTTAATTTCAGGGAATGAAAATTTGTGTTGGAGGTGATGGAAGGGGGCTAGGTCCTGGTTTATAAGTAGGTCAGATAAGGAGGAAATACCATTGGTTTCCCATTTGGTCAGATTAATATGTGAGATAAAAGTGTAAAGGACATTGAGGGGAGTAGAAATCTTTTCAGAGTTTGGGGAGGAGTGTGTTAATAAGACATAGAATGGGTCTATTGTCGATGGAATGGAGGATGAGGTGAGTCTGTGGTGTAGTAGGGTGGAATAGTTGAGATTCCATGGTGGTCCAAGTCTTTTCTTTACAAGGGTGCTACCAATAATACATTTAGTCGAGTAATGTAACTAGGTAATACATGTGCAAGTGTGGAAAGCTTGATCCCCCTCTATAGTGTGGGCGAATTAGTAGATTGTTAGTGCACCTGGGTCTTTTTGATTCCCAGAGGAATTGGGAAAATTGTCTTTGGGCTGCATGGAAAAATCTTAGGGGTACGGAGATAGGGAGGGTTCTAAAGATATAAAGCAGTTTAGGTATTATAAACATTTTTAGAGATACTATGCGACCAGGTTTAGAATGACCAAAGGTCCGGAGTGCTTGGATTTCTATGAGTAGATATTGGAGGAATGGTTTATGGTTTAGATCATAGAGTTGGGAAGTTGAAGCAGTTAG